TATATATATATATATATATATATGTATATATATATATACATATATATATATATATATATATATACACATATATATATTGACAGACACTTTATCTCTGAAAAGGTCCATATAGGGGCTATCAGATTATTGTCATTCTTACCAAAACTCTTCCTCGACACCATTTTAGTGATCTCAATAGCAAGTTTTGGATGTATGACATATACAACCCAACTTGAGGGGGATTGTTGATATGTATGCATCTGTGGACCACAAAGACCAACCCACGATTTAGAAAGTTGTGAGTCCAATTGCTACATTTCAAGGGGAGAAATTATTCCCCCTTAATTATCCTTCATTGCATTTTATTTATTTCCTTTATCATGATGATTTAAATTTCCCTCCAATTGTATTGTGGTATTCCTGAGTTATATATATACTTGTTATTTGCTTGTATTAGATAAATGAAAAATTAGAGCTTTTTTTCCTCTAAGAAAGTCACTCCTTAATGCAACAACTACTAATAAGATACAACGAAATATAAAGCTTGAACACAATTATAGAGCATCTTATTACAATTAAAAAAAAATTAAGGGCTAGTTTGATATCAGTTTTGTTATTATTATTCTTTTTTTATATTTTGGCTTAAATTAAAACACGTTTAGTTATAGTAGTTATTTAAAAAAAAAACTAAATATTTTTTACTCATTTTGAGAGTTTTTAAGAACAAATGATTTGTTTTTTAAATAAAAAAATAAATGAAGTTATACCAATCAAAAAGAATTAAAAAAAAGAAAAATAAAAATAAAAACAAGAAACAAAAGTTATGTCAAATGGGCCCCTAACATAATGCAAATTGTTGCACGGATGGCTTTGTAACAAACAATTTCTATAAATAGAAGAAACCTGAAATGCAAGATTTCCATATCTAACAAGTTGTAGAAGGGAGTTGAGGGATTCATTTTTCCAACCTAGTCCGTATACCTTCAATAATATTAAAACAGTATACTCATTAAATTCCACATACATCACAACAATGATGCTAGGGGAATACATTTATTCCACACAAGGTTATGATTAAATTAAAGGACAAAAAATGATAGTCTAATGTAGAATTTGGTGATTCTTTCAACTTGCACATATTTGAAGGAGCAAAAGCTCAACTTGTTGATACATAAAAAAACAATAAAAATGTGGTTTATTTCATGCTTACCTTATTTACAGGACCTATGCAAATGTATCGAGTATTTTCATCTTCATAATGAATATGTTGCATGACGGTACTTAGGGCCTTCTCCCTCAACATGCTACCGGGCCAGTTCATAAAAATAGGTTCACCGATTTTATGAAGAGAAGCCCAAAGAAGGTCTTGAATCAATGGATGAGGATAGTACAAATCTTCCTGTATAAAAACAAAGCCATTTTTTTACTTAACATATCAGTAATTTAATGTAATTGCCTGAATTTTTGTACAAGACTAGATTAATAAGGAGACGCTATCAATTGTAAAAAAAAGGAAAATCAAATATTAAAAGACACTAAAGATGTATAGATACAAACAAGTTTTATCTTTTCTAGAAGTAATGGACATGCTTATGGACATATCTAAATTATGGATGTATCTAAAAAATATATATAAATAAACATCAACAAAAGTCTTCAAAGAGCAAAAACAAATATTTATAAAATAACTTTTTTTTATAATAGTTTAAAATGAAAAGTTTGGGGACCAAGGATCATAAAATTATGTTTCAAAAGACAGAGCTCAAATGTCAGTTGAAAGCATAATTAACATTGATAAGCATGTAACTTGTTTCTAATGCACTAAGAACCACCAATTTTTCAATGATGCAGTTTACTTGTGTACCCTTTTTCCCTTTGTTTTTTGTTAGGGCAAGCATGCCATTTTTCTTTTAAATTTTAGTGATGAATGCTCCATTCATTTATCATTCTTCTAACTTTTTCTTATAGTAGCTATTCTCAGATACTGTTATCACTTCAATAATAGCATTGCGTAGATTATACTAGTTCAGATATTCCTACAACTTTCCATTGTGTTTTGCACCTTTGTATGTTCAATTATTATTTTAATAGCTTGTTAATATTAGCCCTTCTGGAATGGAAACGTCTCTTTGATTTTGTTAAAATGCATTTTTCTTTATTTATTTTGTAATGTTGTTTTGATTTGTGTTTCATGCCCTTTGACCTTTACTTGTTTTTCATTTTTTCTATAGTTGCTACATCATTAATTTACATTCAATATACCCTACTTTTTCTTTAATTCATACATTATTTTTATTTGACATATAACTTTAAATTTATTTAAATTAATATTATGTAGCGAAAGTCTTGTATTGTTAGTTTACCCTTATTTGCATCATAATTAAAATTATATATATATATATATATATAT